GTCCGTTATATCCCGTTCCTCATCCACCATATATATTGTCCAAACGATTGCCACAATCATAGCGATGATACTAATCAAGAATATTCCGGAATAGTTATGCAACTGACCCATTGTCCACGGGGAGGGTGCGCTCAATATGTGAGCGCCGGTATACGTGCCTACGGATTGAGCTGTCATATAAAATAATATATAAATTCTACATATTTAATAAATTGCTAAAATAATATTAGTATATCATCATATTTATACAATCAATACAAACCTAAAAAGTATATAACAGTTGCTAATGTTATTCGTTTAGTTATGATATGAGATGGTGTTGTCATTGAAATATACCCCCAAATGGCAGTTAACAGCGAAAGTTGGCTACCCGACAGTAACCCAGGTATATATGCCAAAAGTACCCATAAATATGCTAAATAATTCAATAAACAGAGAAAATTTATTTAAATTATATCATAGATGTTTAAATTTATAAAAATAGTACTTGTATAATATTTTTTACTTACATTTATCAAAGTAATAATCATTTAATATAAGTATAATGCACTCTAAAATGATAGTCATCGCACCGGTAATCAGTAACCATTTCTTGGCCTTAATATATGTGTCAATCCAATGGCCAATCAGTAATAAAGTAAATATGGACGGGACGAACACCATAGCCGATTGATATAACATAAAGTGCTTCTTATTCTTTAATATCGTGGACTTCATGTCCAGGTAGTCATCCCTGTCCAGCATTGAATGAAATTGTGAACAATAGGTCTCATTCAGATCGTAAGTAAACCGGCATATTTTGTCGGTCACTAATTGTTCAGTCAATACACGTTTCATTGTATAGACAAATGTGAATATAAATAGATACGGTTCCACGGTTAGCAAGCATAAATACTCGTAATATTTATGGCACTTGTATTTAACATCTATTTTTGTGGACATGTTTATAAATTGTCAATTTAAAGTTAAAATAAGTAAATAATAGTGAATAGTTAAGGTCCGAGTATTATACTGTATTTGATAAATAACTTAACAACTTTAAGTAAAACTAATGTCTTTGTAAAAATAAAAATATTAGTTATGGAATTTAATTTTGAAATGTTTGAGCTTACATGATATTTATATATGATTATTTTCTAATAGCCTGGAGATTTAGTCATTTATACATAAAATTCATAATTGGTTTAATAGTTACAAATTTTGAATGATAGCGATACCAAAATAGTACTCAACTGCACCCTTTCGATGGGTATACCGTAGTATCTTATCTTTTACTATAGATATAATATTACACCACAAAATCGTAATGTAATAAAGTACAGAAATACACCAGTGTTATTTTACAGTAAATATTCACAGAATTGTGATGATTCATTAATTAAAAATTTCAATGAATTATTTGTTGCTCTTATTATTTTATTGTTTCTTACTAATCTTGATCTTATTTTTAATACTGTCTGATTAAGTAATTAATTTGGCAATAGTAAAAATGTTTTGACACTAAATCCATCGTTCCTTGGTACATTATCTTAATTTCCATGAGGTTGCATACAAATATTGACATAATGGGTAAGTATAAAACTTATCAATTTTATGACACTATATATAATTAAAATAATTAACAAAATATTTATACAATTAATACAGTTTTTGAAATTATTTTTTAATATACTTACTTAATTTACTTTATTAATTGTGATAATTCAACTTGTTATATACATTTTACTATAAATTAATTGTAAAATTTTAAAAATTAATTAGAGTTTAAGTTTTCAATATTTATTTATAGTAAATAAATTAATTTAAAAATAAATGTTCAGGCACAATAATCAAAAAGTTTCCAAATATTTATACCAAAGGTATTCGCATTCAATAGACTTAACATTGAGTCCGAAATTAGTTTTAAGTTTAGGTTCAGTAGTGAACTCATAATAAGGAGCAATCACTCTATCATTGAGTCCATAGTATTGACGCCATTCGGCACCGGACTGGTCGGCAGGCTTTCCCTCCCACGCAAATGTAGTGAAAGCCTTAATCATTGCCCCCGATATCTCCCTTTCTTTAGGTCCATATCTATCGTACTCCTGAAACGGTAGACCAAACACAGGATAGATGTCATCGAAATGACAGACACCCATCCAATCGGAACAGAATAGTTGAGCGCCGGCTGTAAACTTAGCGTTGAAGTAGTACTCAAATACCCTGGAAGTCTCACTCCCCTTATGGATACCCCTAGCAAACAGTTTGGTCGGACACGCAAGTAGGTAGTCACCGAACGTGCGACCGATAGTCTGTAACAGTATGTCTGCACCGGTATTATTGGACAGTCCGTTAAAGTATAGGTCGGCTATAAGTTTTGTGTCAAGACTAGTGTCGCTGCTTCTCATCGCTTGATAAGCGGTTATAAACCCAATCTCATAATTATAAGCTTGGTCATAGCTAATCGGATGTGGCTTCCACTTGTCAAAAGCAACAGGGTCAACAAATAGTGCCATAAACATACTGCCCTCGTTATCTACTGTTCCTATCAGTAGATCCAAGTCTTGCCGATAGTCTCCCGACGCAAGAGTTTCGATGGGATTCTTAAGTACGAACTGTCCGTCTATTAGGAAATCCAAATCACAAGCACTGGGCCTCAAATCCAAAGCATTTTGCAAGCGAACTACCGGTGCTTTCTGTATGCACTCAATCATTTCGGGCGTAAACTCAGTCAAGTTTTCATGTATATCTTCATCATCTATACTAAATTGTCCCGAATTTTCATTATTATTACCGCAACCCATACTAACGGCCCGATTATACCAAACAATTTCTAATGCCTCGGGTTTACATACGTTGTTAGTGGCGGAGCCCGACATCATAATAACCCTTCGGAACAGGTTTTTGGTGATTGGGGACAGTATGTGAAAACTGGTGGATATACTACCGGCGCTCTCGCCAAACATAGTAATACTGTTGGGATCGCCACCGAAATAGGCTATGTTGTCGACCACCCACTCCAGTGCCAGCGCCTGATCCCATAGAGCCATATTGCCGGGAGCGCCGGTGTGTTTGGCACCGGTATATAACAGACCAAATACGTTGAGCCGGTAGTTGAATGTGACCACAACTACATCACCCATGGCTGCCAACACGTGACCGGAATACCACTTTTCGACGGACGACCCCCATTTCATACCACCGCCGTGTATCCAAAACATAACCGGTTTAAGAGCACCGGTAGTATTAGGTGACCATATGTTGAGGTATAGACAGTCTTCGCTCATCTCTTGGTTTAAGTAGTTTTGGTGTAGTTTCTGATGAACACAAGCCTTAGGCCATTGAATGGCGTCGTAGGGGTCGGGTATGTGTCGTACAGGCAGTGGTTTCTGGAACCGAAGTCCTTCGACCGGGGGTTCGGCGTAAGGGATGCCTAAAAACACTGACAACTCTTTGCCGTTAAATTGAATACGTTTGCCATTAATTGAACCGCTTTTCAGTGTAACGGCTATCGGGTATAATTGTAACTGGGTATCGTCGCTTTCACTACGAATCAGTTGTGAACACAATTGCAATGAAAGTATTGACACAATTAAGTGAAACTTATTTACAAAAAACATTTTCACAAATACTTATATAATATTTAAAAATATTAAGAGGTATGAGATGTTTGTGAAGGAATTATTTTTTATATAAAAATATTTCATTTATTATGCATTTAATATAAAAAACATACTCAATTGTTCCCTGTGGGAATTTCCCACAATATACTGTTCCTTAACAATAAACTTATACGACCTTGATTATGCTAGCTATAGGCTATACTTAATGATTACCTATTATTAGTCGTTAATATAATTGATTTCAGTTCAAATAGTGCACTTTTCCCAAATATTATTAAGGTTATATTAATATAGTAAAGCATAGCAACCATGGCCAATTCACTACATTCACCTAGTTCAGTCCGCTACTCATACCTGTACTGAACATTTGTTACTCACTTCATAGACAATTACTTAAAATTATTTATTTAAATGTTAATTATTATTAATTATTATATTTAAAATTTATATTATTTAGTTTACTAATTAAATTATTAATAATGATTTATTATTAACAAAATACTTAAAATGTGTATAACATTTATACACATTTATACTATAAAATGTTGTACACAATAATTAAAAAGTTTCCAAATATTTATACCAAAGGTATTCGCATTCAATAGACTTAACATTGAGTCCGAAATTAGTTTTAACTTTAGGTTCAGTAGTGAACTCATAATAAGGAGCAATCACTCTATCGTTGAGTCCATAGTATTGACGCCATTCGGCACCGGACTGGTCGGCAGGCTTTCCCTCCCACGCAAACGTAGTGAAAGCCTTAATCATTGCCTCCGATATCTCCCTTTCTTTGGGTCCATATCTATCGT